TATATCTTAATTTTGTTTTTTAATTTGCCGAAGGGCATATGCCGTCACTGAAGGGATAGTGCAAGAGAAAAGGAAAGTGAAAAAGCATCCCCTCTCCCTATGAGGTTATGCCACAATCCTTTCTCCATCATTTCTCCCTTCTTTCAGGATTTTGGACATGCATGCACATATGTGCCTGGTGAGTTTTTTCAAACCACTGATCAGGGACTCAAACTACATAGTCAGCCATGTGAGATCCAGCCACCTTAACCACTGCACTACTGGCTGACCTTAACCACAACACTAGTGGCTGACCCAATATCTGGATTTTATTATTCTTATTTGTCTACCCTTATGCCAAAACCACACTATATTAATACTGTAGCATGTACTATACCTTGTTACCTAGTAGAGCAAGATCTCCTGCTTCTAAGTAATTTCTACAAAGTAGATTCTGCAATGAGATGATCAGAAGGGAGCTTATAAGGTTATAAAAAAGCCAGAAGTGACCAGCAGGTGGTGTGGTGGTTAAGATACTGAACTCCCTTGGGACCAGCAGTTAGCATAATGGCTATGTCACTGGACTCCCACGTAGTCGATTGTGGTTCGAGTCCCGGACCCGGTAGCTTAAACTCACACATGCACACAGGTGCATGTGTGTGCGTGCCCAAGATCCCGAGAGGAGAATGGAGGAAAAGGGATTGTGGCGTGGCCATCCCCCCTGGGGGGTGATTTCTCGCTTTCTATCTCTCTGTCTCTCTCTGTCTGTCTGGCGAGCACACATGCCCTATAGCAAAAACCTCTCCAAAAAAAAAAAAAAAATGCTTGACTCCTTCAAGGCTGACTGTGGTTTGAGTCCCAGTCCTGGCGGCTTGCTTTGTCACTCACTCCCCCAACCCCATCACTCTCTGGTGAGTATGCATGATCTATAGCAAGTTGGAAAATAATGATAATAAATAAAACTAAATAAATTCTTAAAAAAAAAAAAAAGCCAGAAAATATTAAGGTGGAATTGATCTAGTAGAAGTTAAAGTTGAAGCTTTGGAAATAGATGTTATCTATAGAATTACTGTGGGAAATGGAAAATATATTTCCTTGTCTATTTTCCACAAATATCTTCTATTTCCTTCTAAAATTATAATGTGACCTTTCACATTATAGTTTTATCTTTCATACCCATTTGGAATATCTCATCTAGGAACCCAGGGTTTTTTCTCTTCCATAACTTGAACTATTTTCTCCTCTTATGATCCATTAAAGAATTTACACCTTCTTCATTTATTGCTGGTGCCATCCTTATTGAGTAATAAATTCTCATACAAGGAGCCGACAGGTGGTGCAATGGTTAAGGGCAGTGGACTCACATGGCTGACTGAGGTTTGAGTTACAGACTTGGCAACTTGCTTTCTCATTTCCATCCTCTCTCTAGTCTCTCTCTCTCTCTCTCTCATTCTCTCTCACTCACTCTCTCACTCTGTCCCTCTCTGGTTAAAGTAAAATAAATAAAGTTAAATAATTCTTTTAAAAAATAAAAATAAATAAATCTTATACATACATAGTTCTGTCTCAATGCTTTATTCTTACCTTGCTTTTTTTTTTTTTTTTTTTTTTTGGGGGTTTTTTCTAAGGGGCCCGCGCTAGACAGGAGAGACATAGAGACAGAAAGTAAGAAATCACCCGCCAGGGGGGATGGTCACGCCGCAATCCCTTCTCCTTCATTCTCCTCTCGGGATCTTGGGCACACACGCACACGTGCCCGTCTTGAGTTTTAAGCCACTGGGTCCGGGACACAAACCATGGTAGACTACATGGGAATCCAGCAACATAGCCATTACGCTAACTGCTGGTTCCCACTTTATTCTCTTTCTGTGTATTTATGCCAGTATTAGAGTGTTTTTTGTGGCATCTTTTAATATCTGAAAGAGAAGGCACTCTTTTATTCTTCCTTTTTGAAAATTTCTTATAGGGTGTGTGCACTCACCAGAGGGAGAGGGAAAATCAGAAACCACCCACCAAGAGATCTGGCCATGCTGCAGTCCCTTCTCCATTCTTGAGATCTGGGGCATTCATTCACATGTGTCTAGTGTTTTTCAAGCAGTTAGGTTCAAGGACTTTAACTGCACAGCCAAACATGTGGGATCCTGCCACTTCAATCACTACCCCACCTCCTGGCCACCCTCTTTATTGTTTTTATGTATCCGAAGTTACTTAGCCTCTGATGTACTCTTGCCCTTCCATGTAAAATCCAAGTAGAGTTTTGATTGGGATTAGTTTGTTTTTGTTTTGTTTTGTTTTTTAGTTGCTAGAGGGTATGTGCCTTTGCCTGAGAGAGGCATAGAGGGGAGAGAAAGAGCCTGAGAGACACAGAGGGAGAGAAAGAAAGCATCTCCTCCCCCCAATAGGGTGTAGTCATGCCATAATCCCCTCTTCAACCCATTGGGATTTTGAACATGTATGCACACACAAATTTTCCAAGCCTCCAAGGCTGAGAATTGAACCACCAAGGCTGGGGTTTGAACCATGGTAGCATGTAGGGCAACTCCTTTAACCATTAGACTTTGAGGATGTGGGCTTGTAGTGAGACAGAAAGGGAGAGGAGAAAGCAGCCCCTCATGGGGAATGATCACACCACTGTCTCTTCTCCATTCTCCCTCCTTTCAGGACTATGGGCAGGTATATACACATACCTGGCATGTTTCTCAGGCTGCTGGGTCCAAGACTTCAACTGCACGGCTGACCATGCAGTTGCCTTAATCAATAGGCCATGAAGCTGTCTTGCTGTCCTTTTAGAGTTTAAATTTATTCCCCATAGCTATCCTTTTATTCTTAGTTGAGTAACTTTTGAATTTTTTTAAAAAATAGATTTGTTGCTATTATAAGCATATTATAATTTTCTAATTGGTTATTGATGGTGCAGAGAAATACTATTAATTTTTCCAAGTACTGAACTTACAGTTTTTTAAATTCTCTTGGTCTTTCTAGTTAGGTTGTACTTTCTGCATATCATTAGAGTTGGCTCTTCTCTTATAATCTTCTATTTTTTATTTCTTTGCTTAAAATGGTAGCCAGAATTCCTAGGACTGCCTTAATTGGTAACGTTGATAATGAGCATGCATTTCTTTTCCCCTGTCTTTTAGGGAGCATATATAAAGTTTCTTAAGTGTAATGTTCGCAGTAGTTGTGATACATCCGATACATTTCACAAGTTACAGAAGTTACTGGTTTATCTCCTCCCAGGTGAATTTAGAAATCAAGGGACCAGCAGTTGGTCTAATGGCTATGTTGCTGGACTCTCATGTAGTTGACCGCAGTTCGCGTCCCGGACCCAGTGGCTTAAAACTCACGCTGGGCGCGTGTGCGTGCGTGCCCAAGATCCTGAGAGGAGAATGGAGGAGAAGAGATTGCAGTGTGGCCGTCCCCCCTGGGGATGATTTCTCGCTTTCTGTCTCTCTGGCGAGCACACATACCCTACTAGCAGAACCTCTCCAAACAACAACAAAAAGAAAGAAATGGAGATGAGTTCAGGGTGGAGAGCTATAGATTCAGTGCTGATAACTGTTGCTTCACCTCCAAGGCAACTCTTGTCATTAGGATTTTATCTTTCAGTATTTAAAAAGCAGCAGTATAAACAAAAAAAAAAATCTGTTTCCTCTTGTAATTTACTAGCTCCGAAATTGGATTATGAAACCAAGTTCCAAAGGTAGGCAGACAGGAGCCACATTGGAATCTTGTTGGTAATTATCAATGAGATTAGATTTTTCCATAGGGCAAAGCTAGAACAAATATCACTGCAGGTATTGACTAAATTAGAAGGTCTTGGAATATAATGGGAAAATTATTTGGAGATTCCCCTAGTGCTGTATGAAGGCAGTGATTCTGATCTAGAGTAAAATAAATATAGATGAGGACAGTTTCAAGGTATTCTTAGGAACTCACCTAAACTAAAGTTTGCCAATGATTATACAGGTGTAGGAGGAAAAGGGTCATGTTTTTGGCTTGAAGTTGTAAAACTGGCTTTATTTTGATAATGTTAAGCCGTTTCATTTGCCCAATATCCCTATTTTTGCCGTGACATTCTACCATAATAATAACTATGAATACCGAGCATTTATACATTATTTATATGTTATTACTCATCTTTCTAACAATCATGAGTTAAATATTCCCATTTTAACACACAAGGAAGGCTCAGAGATTAACTAATTGCCTTAGAACATAAAACTGGAGCTCATCTCTCTGTTGACATGGAATTCCTTTCCTTACAGAACACATTTCATCCTTTCTTACTCATCTTCTGTCTCAAACTTGAGTTGTATTTCTTCTTAATCAATGCCATTACTTAAAAGATCATTTCTTTTTGTCCCAACAACATCATCACAGAATGCTATGACAAATTATATTCTTATCCACATAAGAGATGTACATATTTACTATTCCCACCAATTTCATTCAACACCTTAGACTTTATACTGACTGTCAATTTGCCAACAGTATACTTTAGTACAGTCACCGACTCCTTCCCACTTATACAACACATTTATTCTTTTCAATCCTTTGTTGGGGCCACCAGGTGGTGTGGTGGTTTAGGTGCTGGATGCCCATGTGGCTGACCACAATTGAAGTCCCAGACCTAGCGGCTTGCTTTCTCCCTTTCTCTCTTTCTGTCTCCCTCTGTCAAACTAATAATAATAATAATAAATAAATAAATAAATAAAATAATTCTTTAAAAAAGAAAAAAGTAATCCTTCGTAGGTCTGACAGTTATCCACAAATTGCAGAATATAAAGTATGATACTCTGTGTATGTGAGTAAATGTTTATATACATGAGTATGATTAAAATTATTACATAATTCAAAGGATGACCCCAAGCAGTGTGTATTCAGTGAGGTTTAAGGTGATTTTGGTCCACACTAGAATTAGAATCGTAGAGTTCATCTACTTCCCTAATCACCACCCTTAGCATCTTTTATTACCCTCTCTATGCTTTTCTTTTCCATTTTTATTTTTTGTCAGAGGCATGTGTACTCACTAGAAAGATAGAGACAAGGACAATGCACTTCTCCATGGGGCTTGTCATGCTGCAGTCCCTTCTCCATTTCTCCATCCTATCAGGATTTGGGGCATCACACACAATTGGTGAGTTTTTCAAGCCCTCCGGGCCAGAACTCAGCTATACTCTTGACCATATGGAATCTGACTCCCTTAACCAGCTCTTCTTGTCAGTTTTATAAACTGCTTAGTTGGGACCAGCAAATGGCATAATGGCTATATCACTGGACTCCCATGTAGTCTACTACAGTTTGAGTCCTGGACCCAGCAGCTTAAAATTCACACTGGGTGTGTGTGCATGCATACCCAGAATCCTGAGAGGAGAATGAAGGAAAAGGGATTTTGTTTGTGTGACCATCCCCCAGAGGTTGACTTCTCTGTTCTTGACTTTTCTGTCTCTCCAGCGAGTGCTCACATCCTACAGCAAAAAAATCTCTCTTTTAAAAAAAGTTATCCTATTTAGCTTTATTTTATTTGACCAGAGAGGGACAGAGCGAGAGAGAGGAAAGTGAAAAAGCAAGCCACCAGGTCCAGGACTCAAACCTTGGTCAGTCATGCAGGATCCAGTGCCCCCAACCACCATGCCACCTGCCAGCCCTCCAAAAAATCTCTCATAAATAAGTAAATAAATATGTCTTAGTCATACTGGATAATGTTTTTAAAGGAATTTTTAATTTCATTTTCTTTGTTGTCATCATTATCACTATTTCTAATTTGACCAAAGAAAGAGAGAGAGAGAGAAAGGAAAGGGAGAAACCAATCTGCCATTATCTGGGACTCAAACCATGGTTGGCCATGTGGGAGTCCAGCACCTTAACCACTGTGTCACCTGCTGGCTCCTTTGATAACTATTTTTTTAAAGAATTATTTTATTTAGCCTTATTTATCTATTTACTTATTTTTAATTTGACCAGAGAGGGACAGAGTGAGAATGAGAGTGAAAGTGAGAGAGAGAGAGAGGGGGAGAAGAAAAGTGAGAAAGTAAGCCACCAGGTCCAGGACTTGAACCACAACCAGTCATGTGAGAATCCAGCACCCTTAACCACCACACCGTCTGCTGGTTCCTGCATAACTGTTAAGCATTACTTTCCCAGACATTACTTTCAGTTTAATACTTCCATCTCCCATTGCTTTTTTTTTAAAACTTAACTCCCCTAGAAATACAAAAGAAACTAATATTTGCCTTTTTCTTTTCTTTCAGACCTGGAATCAATGTGTGAAACCAAGATATTATCTCTAAAGAAGAGACATTTCAGTGAAGTAATACTTACCCAGGAAGACATGCCTACTTTTGTTCAGCCCACATTTTGTACTCTACATAAAAAACCTATTAATGAAGAGAAGCCTTGTGAATGTAAAATATGTGGGAAGACCTTCAATCAGAACTCACAATTTATTCAACATCAGAGAATTCATTCTGGTGAAAAACCTTATGAATGTAAGGAGTGTGGGAAATCCTTTAGTCGGGGCTCACTCGTAACTCGACATCAGAGGATTCACACTGGAGAAAAACCCTATGAATGTAAGGACTGTGGAAAAGCTTTTAGTTGTAGTTCATATTTTTCTCAACACCAGAGGATTCACACTGGTGAAAAACCTTATGAATGTAAAGAATGTGGAAAAGCCTTTAATTATTGTTCAAACCTTAATGACCATCAGAGAATTCATACTGGAGAGAAACCCTATGAATGTAAAGTATGTGGAAAAGCCTTTACTAAAAGTTCACAACTTTTTCCACATCTGCGAATTCATACTGGTGAGAAACCCTATGAATGTAAGGAATGTGGAAAGGCCTTTACTCAACATTCAAGGCTTATTCAGCATCAGAGAATGCATACTGGTGAGAAACCTTATGAATGTAAGGAATGTGGGAAAGCCTTTAGTAGTGCCTCGACGCTTACTAACCATCACAGAATACATGCTGGCAAGAAACTCTATGAATGTAAAGAATGTGGAAAAGCCTTTATTCAAAGCTCAGAACTTATTCAACATCAGAGAATCCATACAGATGAAAAACCATATGAATGTGCTGAATGTGGAAAGGCCTTTAATAAAGGCTCAAACCTTACTAGACATCAGAGAATTCACACTGGTGAGAAACCTTATGACTGTAAGGAATGTGGAAAGGCCTTTGGTAGTCGCTCAGATCTTATTCGCCATGAAGGAATTCATACTGGATGAATGATAGAAAGTGAAAACTTTTTATTAACTTTTATAATAATATTTCTTAATATTAAAGCCACCAGCAAATTCAGGATTAATAAAATGTTATCTTGTGTATTAGTTTTCAAGGGCTACCATAACATGGTAACCAAGTACTAATAACTTGGTGACTTAAAACAACAGAAATTTAGAGTCAGTAGATGGCATAGTGGTTATGTCACTGGACTGCCACATGGCCAACCACAGTTCAAGTCCTGGACCTGGTGGCTTAGAAATCTTAACAGGTGCATGTGCCCAAGATCATGGGAGGAAAAGGGATTGCGATATGGTCATCCCTTCTAGAGGGGGATTTCTCACGTTCTCTTTCATTGTCTCTGTCTCTGTCTTTCTCTACCACAAGCACATGTGTCCTATGGCAAAAATCTTCTTAAATAGGGCCAGCAAGTGGCACAGTGGATGGGGAGCTGGACTCACACATGGCCATCTATGGTTTGAGTCCTGGATCTGGAGACTTGCTTTCTCACACTTTCTCTCTCTCTCTCTCACTGGTTAGCCTGTGACAAACTTAAATAAACATATAAGGTAAAAAACAGCAACAACAAAAAAACTTAAATAAATAAACAGAAATGTGTTCCCTCAGTTTTACAACCTAGAAATCCAGAATTGACTATTGGTAGATTTTGTTCCTTCTGAGGACTCTGAAGGAGACTTTGTTCTCCTTTTTTCCTAACTTTTGGTAATAGTTGGCAGTTATTGGTATTCCTTAACTTGTTAATGCGTCATTCCAGTCTCAGCCTCCATCTTCATGTTACATTCTCCCTGTATATCTCCATATCTTCCCCCCCCCTTTTTTTTTGGAGAGATTTTCACTGTAGGGCGCGTGCGCTCGCCAGACCGACAGAGACATAGAAACAGAAAGCGAGAAATCACCCCCCAGGGGGGATGGTCACGCCGCAATCCCTTCTCCTCCATTCTCCTCTCGGGATCTTGGGCACGCACACACACGCGCCCAGCGTGAGTTTTAAACCACCGGGTCCGGGACACGAACCACGGTCGACTACGCGGGAGTCCAGCAACATAGCCATTACGCTAACTGCTGGTTCCCTCTTTCCCCCTTTTATAAGGACATCAGTAACACTGGATTAGGATCACCTAATGATCTCATCCTAATTTGATTACATCTGCAAAGACCCTATTTTCATATAAGATTACATTCACAGGTAGGTACCAGGGGTTAGGACTTCAGCATATTTTGGGAGAGACAGCTCGATTCGTGACACCTTAACAGCATTGTCTAATTATAATTTCATTTAGTGTATCTTATTAGATATATTTTTATTTATTTTATAATAATTTAATTGTATTTGTTATTATTTATTTTTTAATTTTACCAAAGAGAGAGAAAGGGAAAGTGAGACAGCAAGTTACCAGGTTTGGGATTCAAACAGCAGTTAGCCACATGGAAGTCCAGCACCCCAAGCACTATACCACCTGCCAGCCCTAATCACATATATTTTAAAATACAAATTTTTTAGACCAGCAGATGGCATAAGCAGGTTATGTCGCTGGACTCCCACGTAGTTGACTGCGGTTTGAGTCGTGAACCCAGTGGCTTAAAACTAACACCGGGCACGCGTGTGTGTGTGTGCCTATAATCCCAAGAAGAGAATAAAGGGATTGCAACATGGCCATCCCCCCTGGGGGATATTTCTTGCTTTTTTGTCTCTGGTGAGCGCATGCAACCTATAGCAAAAATCTCTCTTAGAAAAAAACTTTCTTAAAAAAAAAATGTAGGGACCAGCAGATGGCATAATGGTTACATTGTTGGACTCCCACATAGTCAAGGTTTTGAGTCCTGGACTCAACTGCTGCTGGATGTGTGCCCAAAATCCTGAGGGGTTAACGAGGAGGGATTGCAGTGTAGGCATCCCCACGGGTGGGTGATTTCTTGCTTTCTGTTTCTCTGTGTCTCTCTCTGGTGAGCACATGTGCGCTATAGCAAAAATCTCTTTAAACAGTATTTTTGATGCCATAGGGTGGTGTTCACATGCATGTACAAGAGAGAGAGGGAGCAAGCACATGAAAGAAAGGTACCCTCCAACAGGGCCTGATCACATCTCAGTCCCTTTTCCTCCAATTCTCTATCCTTTAAAGATCCTGGTTGCAACCGGCATGTTTTTCAAGCACAGGCTTGGACTGGAGTCCTGGTTGGCCATGTGGGATTCAGCTTCCTCTGCGCAGTGCTATCTGTTGCATTTTGGGGGCAGCCTTCACAATTTGAGTTTAAGGCCTAAAATAGATCTTCACCTGTTTAAAAAAAAAAAAAAAAAAGCTCCGAGACCAGCAGTTAGCATAATGGCTATGTTGCTGGACTCCCATGTAGTGCAGCGCAGTTTGAGTCCTGGACCTGGTGGCTTAAACTCACACTGGGCACGTGTGCATGTGTGCCCAAAATTCTAGGAGAGAATGGAGGAGAAGGGATTGCGGCTTGGCCATCCCCCACTGTGGGGGGGGGGGTGATTTCTTGCTTTCTGTTTCTCTGTTTCTGGCAAGCCCATGTGCTCTATAGCAAAAATCTTTCAAAAAAAACTTATATGCCAAAACTACTTATTCAATAATCCCTTCTTTCCCCATTGTTTGTTTCTTCTTAATATACTTGTGTTTATATTAGTTTATGTTTTAGGGCCATCTCTTCTGTTGCTGTGTCATATAGATCTATTTCTACCAGAACTACCCTGTAAATTGTGTTACATATACTCTTAATTCCTGGCAGAATTGTAAGTTTATGATGGCAGCTCTACTGTTTTTCACCTCTTGTATAACCTTTTCTTATTGACTGAAAAATAAAAGGAAAGTTTAAAAAAAAGCACAAGGATAAAAATAATGATCATTTGAAATCTTGCTGATCAGAGATGACTATTTTCAAAGTAATACAACAAATCTTTACAGACTTTATCTTCAAAGTGTAGTCATAATATCCATGCTGCAATATAACCTGCTTTTTAGCGTGCAAAAATCACACTGTGATATTGTAAGTAAGTATAGACCATTGTCATTATGTTTAACAGTATCATAATACTCTTTCTCTGGTCAGATATCACCTTGCTCAAATAACTTTTAAAAAAAATTTTCTTCCCATTATATTTTTTAAAGAATTGTTTTATTTAACTTTATTTATTTATTTAAATTTAATTTGACCAGAGAGGGACAGAGTGAGAAAACAAACCGCCAGGTCCCAGATTCAAATCATGGACAGCCATATGGGAATCCGACGCCCTTAACCATGCCACCTAAAAGCTCGTGCTAAAATAACTATTGACAAACCGTACCCTCTGAAGCTTTGAAATCATAAAAATTGCTCTCTAGATGCAACTTTAATGCTTTTTATTTTTGTTTTTGTTTTGCTTTATTTTTATTTTTATCTACTTTTTAAATTAAATTTATTTATTTACATTCATTCTTCACTGCACATCATTACAGCATACGAAGTGAGATTTTCCATCCAGAGTACACTATGTATTGGCTCAGTCAAGCACATCAACATACATGTTATCATCAACAAATAATTTTCCATTTCTTGTTTCCTGTATCTTTTGCTTTTTTTTTTACCACATCCTTGATTCCCTATCTCTTACCCTTGGCAGTCTCCCACTCTCTTCCCACACTGTCTCTGGTATCTATGTTTGCTTTCTATACTTCCCCCCAACACACACATTTTATTGAGTCACTAAAGATCTTAACTAATCTAAATATTTTCATAGCAAGTACAGCTGATATATACATTTCCATGAATACAAGTCCAACTTTAGGCATAAGCCTCAGTGAGTAGAATGAACATCCTATAAAGTAGCACCTAGTTGGGGTTATGTATCTTACTGCAGGCATTGAATAGGTATTTTTAATGCTTTATTTTTTAATTTCAAGAAAAACAGTTCTAGTTTTTTTTTCCCTGAAACTTTCTTTTTAAATTTACATTCTCTCCCTAAGCATCGTCACAGCATACAAAATGTGATTTCCCATCCAGAATATACTGCATAATGGCTTAATCGTGCATATTATTATAAAAAATTTTACATTTCTAGTTTCTAGAATTTGTTTTACCTCCTATTTCTGACCTCTGTCCTTTCCCACCCTCTCTTCACACCATCTCTGATGTCTACAGTTGTCTTCCATTTCTTCCCCCCACACACATTGTATTTATCACACAATAATCTGTTTTCAATAGCAAATTCACTTGGTACTATTAAGAAAACCAGTTTTAACTTAAATCAAAGAAATGCTAAGGAACTTTTGCTTAAAGCCAGGAAACAGGTTAGGATTCTGTTCACATGGTAGGTGCATGAACCTGTCCATATCTCAAGACAGGGAACAAATCCTTACAACCAGATAACAAAGTCTACAAGAAAAACAGCAATATTTAGTCAAAAGTCATAAAATTAGGGGACCAGCAGTTAGCATAATGGCTATGTTGCTGGACTCCCACGTAGTCGACCATGGTTCGCGTCCCGGACCTGGTGGCTTAAAACTCACACCAGGCACATGTGCGTGCGTGCCCAAGATCCCGAGAGGAGAATGGAGGAGAAGGGACTGCAGCATGGCCATCCCCCCTGGGGGGTGATTTCTCGCTTTCTGTCTATCTCTGTCTTTCTGGCGAGCGCACACGCCCTATAGCAAAAGCCTCTACAAAAAAAAAAAAAAATCATAAAATTATACTTCACCAATTCAATCTCAGGTACTTTACCTTCTGTTGTGGTTCGATTTTCCTGATTAAATTCTGGGACATAATATTCAACTCCAGACTTGTTCCTACAATTAAGTTGGCCACTTTCTTAGTTTTTGAACTCTTATTTCTGTGTGTCTGTATTTAATTTTCTTGATATAGCACTCTCTTGAGAACTTCTTGGAGATCTGGTCTATTGCTGGTAAATTCTTTCAGGTTTTGTTTATCTGAGAATGTTCTTGTCTTTTCTTCCCACATGAAAGATAACCTTGCTGGGTACAGTATTCTTGGCTAAAATTGCTTTTCTCTTAACACTTTGAATATATTTTCCCATTCTTTCCTCACTCACATTGTTTCCGATGAGAGGTCTGCTGTTAGCCTGATGGGATATCCTTTGTAGGTAACTTGATGTTTTTCTCTTGCCAATCTTAGTATGTCTTTGTGGTTTTGGTCAACCTGGCTATAATGTGTCTTAGAGAAGATCTTCTTAAGTTGATTCGAATTGGGGTCCTTTGTGTTTCTTGGGACTGGATCTTTGAGTGCCTCTCTAGGTTTGGGAAGTTTTCTTGCAGGATTCCATGGAATAGATTACAAATGCCCTTATGAGACTCTTTGCCTTCTGGGATACCAAATATCAAGATGTTTGGACATTTGATGGTATCTAGTATTTCTCAGACATTGTTTCTAATGACTTTTAAAATTTGACCCAATCAATTGCAAAATAATTCTAGTTGATTAAAATTATTATGCAGAAATCTTTTGTGGCATGTTAGGATCTTATTGTTAGCTTCTCCATTATGAATGTTCTAAATTCTTTATCAGACATTTCCATGATTTCCATTGAACTGCTTGTGGATGAAGAGGAGTTACTCTTTGCCCTTGGAGGAGAGGTATTTTCTTGCTTTCCCATATTTCTTGTGGTCCTGCAGTGATTTCTAGTCAACACGCTAGCTTGTTTGCTGGAGGCTGAATTATCAGTAGGAACTCATTTCTCTTTTACCCTGAAATGACTACTTAGCAGGAGCAATGAAGAATCTTCTGCTGAAGGCCTTGCCTCTCCTGCTATGCTAGCTTGTTTGCTGGAGGCTGAATTATCAGTAGAACTGTTCATTTCTCTTTTACCCTGAAATGACTACTTCTCAGGAGCGAAGGAATCTTCCTTGTTTTTCTTTTTAAAAAATTACATTTCAGCACTGTAATAACTAATGAATTGCTAGAACCTGCTCGGTGGAACATATTTTTCTGAGTAGGGAGGCTGTGTATTAGAAATAAATGTAACAAAACACAAAGATATACAAATATAGAAGAGCGAGGATTGTGTGGGGCTGAATTCTCCAATGGAGAAAGCCACAACCAGGAACCATCCAGGTTTATTTTATAGGGCAGAAAATTGGAGAAGAAGAAATAGAATGCAAAGCCAGTTGTTTTCTGATGTTAATCAGCTGAATGAAATAAGAATGACTGGCTCCACGTGATTTCTCTGCGCTTTTGGTGCTGTTTCTGATGAACATATGTGAATTCATTTCACCTGATACTACTTTGTACTATCAACAACAGCACATAGGTAGTGTGTTCATATGTTAATTGCTTTCATACCTATTCAAACGAAGCTCATGGAACTGCTGTTTCTGTGTGTATCTGAAGGTCACCATGTTTTCTCAAAATGGCTGCTCTTCACATAGCCCCTTTTTTCTTTTTCTAATTTGAGTTTGTGGAGCTGGATGACTACTGCATGAAGCTCTTGCTTGGTGATTCCGCAGATTAGTAGGAAAAAAACCATAAGATTATTGACATAGCTATTCCCAAGAAATACCATAAGGAGTAGTGAAGTATGTTAAAAGGATCAGTGCTTTTACAAAGGTGTTTTTAGAATTATATACGTTCATACTGACTAGAATTTTTTATTTTTTAATAATTTTAATCTTAGTATATATTAGTAGCTAGTGAACACGTATAAACTATAGTAACAAAAACCTTTTCAATAAATTTACAAGTATAGAACTGAACAGTTTTATTAGATTAGCCCAAGTGTTTTTTAATTTTTATAAAATTTAAAAGACTAAAAATAGGGAATATTAAAGTATATTAACTTAATAATGAGAACTATAAGGATTCAGGAAGATCTAGATTGTCTTTTAGGCTCTCTGGGTTTATATTTAATATTGAATTTATAACCTTTTATATCAGTTTTTAATTTGGGTGTATAGCCTTGTTTTTTTTTTTTTTTGGTTTTGTTTTTTTGAGAGGTTTTTGCTATAGGGCATGTGAGAAAGACAGAGACAGTGAGAGGGAAAGTGAAAAATTATCCCCCCCCACCAGGGGAAGGTGGCTACCCCACTTTCTCTTCTTCTCCTTTCTCCTCCTGGATCCTGGGCACACACGCATACACACCTGCGCCCGTCATGAGTTTGAAGCCACCGGGTCCAGGACACGAACTGCGGTCGACTACGTGGGAGTCCAGCGATATAGCCATTATGCTAACTGCTGGTTCCCTGGGTGTATAGCATTGTTTATAAAATGGATTGTCATAGGAAATTGACTTAAGTTAATCTTATGGAATTTATTCAAATTACAGATTTTAACAATTTCCTTAAGATTTTATTTTATTTATTTTTTATTTTTATAACTAAATAATTGTAATACTGGCTTTTTAGCATGAAAATTTTTTAGACTTTCTTTTTTGAAATGGTGAAAATGTGTGTACTTAGAATTAGCCAGCTGGACTCAGTTTAGATGATCCCAATTTTGTTTGCAACATCCAAAATATCATAATCAGGAGCCAATCGCACATATGCCTTCTTCCCTCCATCAGGCCTGATTAGAGTGTTGACCATGGCCACATCAATATCATAGAGCTTTTTCACAGCCTGTTTTATCTGGTGTTTGTTGGCCTTGACATCCACAATGAACACAAATGTATTGTCTTCTATCTTCAAGGCAGACTCAGTTGTCAGGGGGAACTTAATGATGACATAGGGGTCAAGCTTGTTTCTTCTGGGGGTGCTCTTTTGAGGATATTTGGGCTGCCTCTGCAGCCGAAGAGTCTTGGGCCTCCAAAAGGTGGGCGATATATGGATTTTGTGTGTGTGTGTGTGTGTGTGTGTGTGTGTGTGTGTGTGGCTGTGGATGCCTTTCAGCACTGCCTTCTTGGCTTTCAAAGCTTTTCCTTTAGCTTCAGCTTTGGAAGGGGCAGGAACTTCCTTCTTCACTTTCGGCGCCATCTTGGTGGGAAAAAAGCAGCCATTTTTTACTTATGGTAAATTTTGGTTTTATTTAATGGTTGGCCTAGCAGATTATAAAACTGACTAGTTTTTCTACATAAAATGGATATTTTTACCTAGTTAAATGGTTAGATTATTAGAAAACTGTACTTGTATGAGTACATCTTCTTTCACATTAGTATTATAGCCATCTGGGAAAAGCATTTAGAAAATGCTTTTAAACTCGGGAGCAGCAGGTAGCATGTTGGTTAAGGCAGTGGACACCCCACATGGCTGACCATGGTTCAAAGTCCCAGGCTTGGTGACTTGCTTTCTCACTTTCCCTGTTTCTCTCTATGGTCAAATTAAATGAATGAATAAATTTAAAAAAATAAATAAAATGATTATTAAAATATATATATTAAACTAATTACCCCTGAATAATAAGATTTAAACTAACCCTAGTTAAAAATCTGACAGTAATTTAAAACTGATAAAGAAATTTGGCAGTATTTATTGCATAGCATACATCAGTTTAATATCAAGCTGTAACAGCCCGATGAATACAATATTATATTTCTAGAAATTTCGAATTATTTTGGATGGAATATAATACATATATTAATACAGAATACATATGTATATATGTATTCACAAGTATATGTATAAATTATACATATAATTTCAATGTGAATAAAATTACTCAAAATGTCCAGCAATATTATTTAATATATTAAAATAAACCTAATTGGTTTAACATTTGTCTTTTGGATGTTTCAGGGGCCCTCTGTAAAGATCCAAAAGTTATTTTGAAGTTAAAAGAACTTAATTTAGAATTTGTTGGGGAAAATCTTGTCAAAGATAGCAAAAGCTTAAATATTTGACTTAACTGTCTGTAGAAAATAAAAGTTAATGTTTAAAGCACCTTAGGGATGAAATAGGGTTAACTCACTGTTTGCTGGCATTAAACCAGAATACATGGCAGACTATAGTACTCAGTTAAGACTTTCAGAGCAAAACAAAACAACCCAAAGACTAATATATGGATTACATTGTGGAGGGCTGCTCTCCACATTACATATAAAAATTTCCTTTACATGATTTTGTTATTATTACCTTTAGTTATAATTTTTATAACTGAACCCTAAGAGAATCAAAAATTGAACTTTAGGAAAATAAGTCTTATTAAATATTTAAAATCTCTTTTTATAGCTATTTTTTGATTACCTTGAGAAAACAAAATATTAAAGAAGGCTAGTCACTAATCTATTTGCCCTGTTGGTCAGATATTTACCATGTAATATGTAACACATAACATAAATTTTAGTTGTTTCGCTTAAACAATCAAACATGATACTGCCTGATCAGTAAAACTCTAGACAAAGTATTTGTTTGAAATTGTAAAGATTTTCACTTAAAATTTTTTTCTTTTACCATATTTGAAACCAGCTTATTTGTCAAAGATTTTAAGCTATGCAAACTTGAAAAGTATTTAAGTTAATTTGTATGAGCACTCTTTTTTAAATATATTTTTTAAATAATTATTTTATTTGATTATTTAATTTTTTTTAATTATTATTTTCCAGTTTGATCAGGGAGAGATAGAGAGAGGGAAAGTGAGAAACCAAACCACCAAGTCCAGGACTTGAACCATAGTCGGCCATGTGGGAATCCAACGCCTTTAACCACCATGCCACCTGCTGGCCCCAATGAGCGCTCTTTTTTATGAACCCAAATTGAATTGAATTCCTTAAGACCTTTTATCACATAGACATACAACATACAGAATTTAACATGACAAATCACATATATGCACACAAGCATGTACACCTGCAAAAAGATCTCAAAGCAATCTCCTAAGTCAGTTTATGAGAAAACTTTATGATAAAAACAGGATTTTTTAAAAGAGAATGTTCCAGTGGGAATGCTTTTGAAATATGTTAAATGTTAGAGGCAAAATCAGAAGGATTAGATGAGGGCAGAAAACTATTTTGCAAACCTATGATCCATTTATGAAGATTTTTTTATATCTAATGAAATATTGTTAGAAGACCATATCACATAGAGATGGCTTTTTATAGAAATCCAGATCCAATGTGTGTCATTTTGAGGTAAAGGAGTTACACAGATATGATGAAATAATGCATGACATTTCAAATAACTACATAGCTGCATTTTAAACACATGCTGTCTTAAGGTGTCTACAGTTATTTCTAGCTCTTGCAAATGGACAGTGATTTGTTTTTCAGTATTTAATTTGGTGCCCAGTGCTTGATCTAACATTGAATACCACTAGAGCACTTGGAATGGGTTATGTGAGACTACTTTGGGAAAAAAACAAATGCAGTAGCACAGGCAAATTGTATAAAAGGATCAGAAGGGTAGTGACAACCAATCTGGGGAATAAGAAAATAGCAACAATCACATTGTCCTTAGTTGTTTGTGAGTCCAGGGTAAGAGATTACATTACTTGAGATGTATGCTGTTGTTTGTAAGCAATAAGCAAAAGTAACATTTGTCCATAGCATTTATGCTTGATTTTTACAGAACACCAATACCAGACATTTTCTTTCTCATTAAACCCAAGTTCTAGAGCCAGCAGGTGGTGTGGTGGTTAAGGCGCTGGACATGACTGACCAGGGATTGAGTCCCAGACCTGGTGGCTTGCTTTCTCACTTTCCCTTTCTCAGGACCAGCAGCTAATGTAATGACTATATTGCTGGACTCCCATGTAGTCGACCGCGGTTCGAGTCCCAGACCCAGTGGCTTAAACTCACACCAGACGTGTGTGTGCATGCCCAAGATCCTGAGAGGAGAATGGAGGATAAGGGATTGTGGCATGGCCATTCTACCTGGGGGGTGATTTCTTGCTTTCTGTCTCTCTGTCTCTGTCTGTCTTTCTGGTGAGCACACACGCCCTATGGCAAAACCTTTCCAAAAAAAGGAAAAAAAAAAAAAGAGCTCTAAAATGATATATCAGAAATTATCTATGTAATTTTTGTTATTTTCCAAATAAATTTTTGAGTAGGAGTTGGGCAGCTTTATATAACAGTGTTAGGACTAAACAGTGTTTAGTGGAGGCTTTGAAGACTCACAGAATATTTTGAGGGAAAGCTACAGGTAGAGACTGCATTTTACTGATGATTCAAGCAATGGGCATGTAGGATATTAGACATCAAGCAAAACAAAAGTGAGACCAGCAGTTAGCGTAATGGCTATGTCGTTGGACTCCCATGTAGTCGACCACAGTTCGAGTCCTGGACCCGGTGGCTTAAACTCACACCGGGCACATGTGCATGCGTGCCCAAGATCCCAAGAGGAGAATGGAGGAGAAGGGATTGCTGCATGGCCATCCCCCCTGGGGGGTGATTTCTCGCTTTCTGTCTCTCTCTGTCTGTCTGGCGAGCGAATGCACCCTATAGCAAAAACCTCTCCAAAAAAAGAAAAAAAAAGTTATATGTAACCCACCTTGTTCTGCACAGCATGTAGGGCTTCACACAGTGGAGGCTGTGTTAACAGATTTTCAACATCAGCCTTTAAACATTTATTCTGATATCCTCTATATAGTTTATGTTATTAAAAAAAATTGAAACTGTTATTCTTGAAAACATTTCACAGAAAAGCCTTTTCCATACTTTTTCTATAATCCAAGATTTAATGTGTAGATGAAAGTACCCTCTTTTCTTTTGCCACATTTGATCTCATACCAGCCTTCCTGGTGCTCTTATATTCAAACACCAAGCTGATACACAGCTTGTTGCTCTCATTTCTGACACTCCAAAAACACAAGCACAGCAATCACATAACCTTTTTCTCCAAAATGCTGCTGCCCTGCACAAACAATTTTATATCACTAGCCAACAGGCATAAAACATTGTTAAAAATTGTCCAAACTGTGTTCCTTCCTTCTTTTCCTATGGTCATTAACTCCAGGGGCCTGGCCCCAAATCACATTTGGTAGATAGATTTAACCCATTGTGTCCCACATAGGGCGCCACTTGCTGAGATCTGCTCGGCTGAACACGAGTGGGAGGTTGGGAGGGCTGTGGATTAGAAATGTAAAAATAAACACACAAAGGCATACAAGTATAGAAAAGCGAGGATCAGTTGGGCCTAACTTCTCTGATGGAGAAAGTCATGACCAGGAACCATCCTCAGGTTTATTATTTTATAGGGCAGAAAATGGGAGAAGAGGAAATAGAATGCAAAGCCAGTTGTTCTTCAGATGTTAATTGGCTGAATTAAATTAGAATGACTGACTCCACGTGATTTCTCTGATCTTTTGGGGTTGATTCTGATGAACGTGTGATTTCCTTTCATTTGATACTACTTTGCAGTATGCTAACAGCACATAGCTAGCTTGTTCATATGTTAACTGCTTTCATAGCTATGCAAATGAAGCTCATGGAACTGCTGTTTCTGCATGTGTTTGAAGGTTACCATGTTTGCTCAGCATGGCCACTCTCCACAATGAACATTTTCTCCATATATAATATTACTAGTAGCTCCAATTTCCACATCGTATTATAACCACTATTAAGAATTTGTTAGTTATCTTCTAGATATGTTCTACTATAGTTACTTATATATGTGTTTGGACACAAATAGGTGTTATATATGTAAATGAAACCGAGCAAGGGCCCCCCAAATGTATTTTCTAGGGTTCCTGAAATATAAAGCCCATTTACATTGTAATGACCCAGAATTAGGAGTAAGTCTTCAGACTTTTGGTTATGATAATGACCAACATGGATTATGAGTGAGGGCCATTTGACCTCTAGAACTCTCACTTAAAGGAAAAAATAAGGTTTTCATTTCAATATGTAAGATGTTTTATAGGCTGGAAACTGCTGGTTGTGAGCTCAAAGACTCCAGGCTGAATGGCTCCAGACACCTGAAGAGAAATTTGATTATCTAAGGCCTCACCAATCAAGAATGCCCACGAGATGGTCACGCCCTCTTGAACCAATCACTGAACTGATCATGCGCGTAGGACCTCTGCCCCTAGTTTTGCCCTTAAA